GTATATTTAATATTTCTCTATTTACGTCTTCTGCAATTTTCTTCGTTACCTATTAATAGTATTTGTAAGAAGACATTATTTTACGTAAAAATTACTCCATATATCAACACCGATAGATCTTCCCGGTCAATAAGAATGTGGGACATGAAGAGCTCAAAGTATAGGGGAGGGTAGTACGCAATGAGAGAAAAAATACATTTTTATTTCTGACATTCGCGTTTTTGAATTTGTCTATAAATTGAGTTAATCAGTCATCAATATGATTATTGGTTTAATGTAATCTGAAATAAATATTCCCTCATGACTGAAGAAACAAAATCTATGATTATTTTTCTAACCATCTGCATCTGTCTTATTGAATACCATTGGTGGTTCAGTATGAGTCAAGTGTTATTTATTATTTCAATATATTGTTAAAGCTAATAGGTACAGTATAGTTTAATTATTAAAAGTAGCAGTTTTACAGTTAAAATAAAAAATCTGAAATAAAAAAAAATTAAAGGATCTTAATACTGTCAAACTTTACATCAAATTTGAAATAAGATACAGGGTGCTTGTCTTGTTGATGTATATTTTTAGCTTTTGGTAGAACTGATACTGATACAATCTGACCCTGCTACTGAAGCAATGTCTTTAACTAAAGGAAAAATATAGCAGTCTTAAATCACTTTTTCTTAAAAATGACAGTTGTAATTTATTATCATCATATTATGCAACATACAATACATTGTGTTCAAATTTCACTAATACAAAACTATCAATGGAAATTTCTGTACTAGCATCAATGCCATAATCGTCTTCCAACTGTAAATTTTCACATTAATCGCCAGAAGAATCGTCATAATTGATAAGTACTTCGCTCTCCTCATATGAAGTGCTATCATTTCGTTTATTGTTTTTCTGTTTTCTTGCTGAGATGCTTACCAGAGGCGTAACAGGGGGTTTGGTTTAAAATCAAAAGGTTTGGTAGAGTTAAGAAGCATTTCGATGAATGATTACAAGATCAACGCATCTCAAACCCTGAAGAAAGATATAGAATAAGCATGTTTTCTGGAAATCTGGATGTAGTCATTCAACAAATTCAAGCTAGGTATAAAGTAAACGACGATTTTAAGGTCTTAGATCCTAGAAGTGGATATCTTTTCAAATCGGATCCAGAATTTTTTGTCGAAGCCAGTAAATTAGTTGCTGCGTACCCGGCAGATTTACGTAATGAGTTTTTGGAGCAACTGCAATTTGTTAGAAAATCAATAAGGACACAGTTGGAATCGGCAAACTATATTTATGATGCAGCCAAAATTATTTTGGCCAAAAGTGTGTCATGCGTACAAATTAAATTAATAAAATCATATCTTCGTATTACAATGTCAGAAGCACGGTTATCTTCTCTAGCGCTTATAAGTATCGAAAATAAGGTTGCCCATCACATAGATATTAATAAAATTGTAGATATATTCGCTGATATTAGTGAACGAAGAAAGTTGTTCATCTCACTCTTCTTCTTATTCAAGTGCCATCTTCGTTCCGAAGGTTGACGATCATCAGGGCTATACGTATTTTCGAAACTGCTGACCGAAACAATTCGTTTCTTCGTTTTCAATTCTTCTTTCAATTCTTCGTTGCTACAGCTATACCGTTATTGTAGATTCTTTAGCCAGGAGTTTCGTCTTCTTCCTATGGACGTTTTTCCTGCTATTTTCCCTTGCATAATTATTCGAAGCAGTTCATATCTTTCGCCTCTTGTAATGTGTCCCAAGTATTGCAGTTTTCGTTTTTTGATCGTAAATATGACTTCCTTTTCTTTATTCATTCTTCTCAAGACCTCGACATTTGTGACTCTCTCGGTCCATGATATTCTCAGAATTCTACGATACATCCACAGTTCAAATGCCTCTAATTTTTTTATATCAATCTTTTTCAACGTCCATGACTCCATTCCGTAGAACAACACAGAAAGTACGTAACATCTCATCAGGCGATGTTTCATTTCAAAGCTCAAATCTCTTCCGCAAAACACTCTCTTCATTTTAGTGAATATGGATCTGGCTTTTTCTATTCTTATTTCGATTTCTGCTGAACTATCGTTGTTTTCATTTATAAAAGTGCCTAAATATTTGTATTTGCTAACTGGATCGATAATTTCATTGTGTAAATATAAATTTTGGACATTTTGTGTTGATTTCGATATTACCATAAATTTAGTTTTCTTTATGTTCAAAAAAAGTCCATATTCTTCGCTGCAGTCTGTTATCTTATTCACCAATGTCTGTAGCTCTTTAAGTGTTTCTGCGGAAAGAACGGTGTCGTCGGCAAATCTCAGATTGTTTAATCTAACACTATTTATTTTAATACCTACGGATTGCTCAGAGAGTGTTCTATTCATTACGTCTTCGGAATAGAGATTAAACAGGGTTGGTGACAGTATACACCCCTGTCTCACACGTCGCTTTATTTCTTCTTTATTTCTTCAGTGGTATTACTCTCTGCTCTCACTACTGCTTTCTGATTGTAGTACATATTTGCTATTAGTCGAATGTCTCGTTTATCTAAATTCTTTTCTGTTAGGAGTCTGATTATGTGATCATGCCGCACTTTATCAAAAGCCTTTTTGTAATCTACGAAACACATGAATACATCTTGATTTATATCAAGACATCTTTGAGACATAACGTTCAGTGCAAACAACGCCTCTCTTGTTCCGAGTCCATTTCGGAATCCAAACTGGGTATTATTGATGTCCATTTCCAGTTTTCTGTGTACTGTAGAGTGTATAATTTCAGGAATATTTTCAGTACATGGCTCATCAGACTGATTGTACGGTAATCACTACATTGTTTGGCATTTATCTTTTTTGGTATAATAACAAAGGTGGATAAAAGCCATTCTTGTGGTTTTTTTTTCATCTCATAGAATATTATAAAATAATTATATACCAAGAAAGATGAAAAATGTTAGTTGTTATAAACAGTGCATCAATACACTAACACATAATTATAAGTTTTTGTTATACAAGTCGCATTTAGTAATTTTTTAAAGGGGGCCCCATGTATAATTTTGCGGGGGGTCCTGAGGGAGTTTGTTATGCCACTGCTTTATTTAAATTTATCTTAATTTGTTCATTTGTCTGATGAGTAATTTTTTTGGTTGTTGCTTGTAGTTTTAACTGCTCCAAATCAGGTGTGTCATTTAAAATTGCACACTTTTTAGTTTCAGTTGTCTTCACACCTATTCTCTTTTTTGATTTTGGAAATCCTTTAAATTCGTAAGAGGAGATGAACGAACTCAAAGTGCTTTACAATTTTTTTGTATAGTCTCTCTATGCATAGCAGAATAGTTTGGGAAAGTATCGTTGAATAGGTTGCTACTTCACTTAAGATCTTTTTCTATCGCCATAGCTCCTTGTCATTAAAACAGTAATTCGTCCTTTTCATTAGTAAGCAGTCAGCTTTAGTTATTAATACAATTTTTTTTATAAAACTTTTCAATAAACGCTACTTTAAAATACTGTCGGATGAAATAAATATAAAAAGAGGAGTGAGACAAGGCTGTATATTGTCGCCTTTACTTTTTAACTTATATTCGGAGGAAATATTTAAGGAAGCCTTAATGGAGACAACCGAAGGTATTATTGTGAATGGAGTAACCGTCAACAATATTAGATATGCCGACGATACCTTAGTCCTTGCCAATTGCGAAGAAGACCTTCAAAATCTAATGAACAAAATAAAACAGACAAAATCAGTATGGATTAAAACTCAACGTTAAGAAAACTAAATATATGATAGTTAGCAAACAAAATTATATACATGATGACGGTATAAAAGTAGGAGATGCCACACTGGACAGAGTAGAGAAACTCGTGTATCTCGGCAGTAATATCAATGAGAGCTGGGATCCAACCTCAGAAATTAAAAGCCGAATAGAACAAGCCCGAGCTGCCTTTGTAAAAATGAGAAACGTACTTTGCAGTCACGATCTTAGCATTGACCTTAGAGTTCGTATGATATCTTGCTATATCTTTCCTGTCCTGCTGTATGGAGTAGAAGCGTGGACCCTAACTGAGGCTATGCTTAAACGCTTGACAGCCTTTGAGATGTGGGTATACAGACGACTACTGAAAATAAGCTGGGTCGACAGAGTTAGAAATGAGGAGGTCCTTAGACGGCTGAATCAAACAACACAACTGGTCAATATAATAAAGAAACGCAAGCTGGAATACTTCGGTCATATTATGAGACACCCTAAAAAATATGATCTTTTACATCTGATCATTCAGGGAAAGATCCAAGGTAATCGTGGTCCTGGTAGAAGAAGAACATCATGGCTGAAAAATCCAAGGCAATGGTATGGAAAATCAACTACATCGTTATTTAGAGCCGCTGTCAATAAAGTCACGATAGCGAATATGGTAGCCAACATGATGTCCAACGATCGATAACGGTTATGGAACTAGAAGAAGAAACGCTACTTTATTCTTTAATTGAAGAAATTTCGTATATAAATCCATAGATATCATCAGTTCATCTACGGTAAATGAGCATACATCCAAAGAGCAAAAAATTGTACAAGATTTACATTACAAAAGATATACAGCTCAAAAAGATGGAAGCGAAGTGATAGCTTAAAATTTTGCAAAGAACAGAATTATAAAAAATTGGACGTAAGAACAGAATTCTTTCAAATATGGAGGCCAAACAGAATTTTGGTTTGATTGGTCGTCCAGTATGGCCTATTATTTTTTGCATGGTGATGATATTTATATTGTCGTCAAATGTTTTTACTAGATTCCAATGAGGGTCGGTTAAATTTATCAATCTTTTTGAATTGTATAAACCTTTTGCCTCCATGACTTTCTTGCGGAGGTTAAACATATCGTGTCAATTCTTTCTTTCTCGACATTTTTTATTTCTTTATTAATTTGTTTGTTGTGCTGCGAAATTATTGCCAAGACAGAATAGAAGATAACATTAATATAATGTGAATTATGAAAGTGCAAAGTCTAAATTAAAATGCAACTAAGAAACTTTATTTAATACCAACAATGATTAAATTAAAACAGTCCATAATAAAATTTGTAAATCTTCACCACATCTAATAGCTCTACTCCTTAAAACAGTCAAACTAGTAAGAAATCGTTGGCAAGCAGTTGGTCAGTGAGAGAATCTTAATACAGTCATCAGTGCTAGTCCTTCTACTTGCGCTGGTCGACTATTCGCTAATATTTTCTGACTGGTTTGACCGTTTGTTGGAATAAACCTAATGTGTACGATATAAAACCATTCGCTCCTCCTTATAATCCATTTATCTTAAATATTTTACTACATTTCTTTTTCCAGATAGTTTTCCTTCAGTTTTCGCCTCAATATCTTTCCAGACGGATTCTTAGGAATAACGTCAACTATTTGGATTCCACCTGCGATCTTCTTATATTTAGCTACTTTGTTTGACACGTATTGATCTAGTTCTTCAAGATCTACAGTTTTGTCTTTCTTAGGAACAATATAGGCTCTGGGTACTTCTCCACTCAGGGGATGAGGAATACCTATCACAGCGGCTTCAGCTACAGATGGATGGTCCCTTATTATTTCTTCTAATTCAGCGGGAGCTACTTGGAAGCCTCTTACCTGAAATTAATAGAACTTATATTTGAAGAGTGTTAAAACTTTTTATATGTTTTATATTTTACTAATTAATGGAGAAAAAACCACACGTGGTTTTAGAGGTATTTACTGCTATAGAAAAAGCCACAGTTAAAATGCAATGCAGCTAAGATAGGCAATGTATACAGATAGGCTATTAGTAAAACTGAGGCTTAGTTCAGTTATCTAAAAATTTATAAATTCAAGTTTTAAGGTTCAGAAAAGAGTTGTTTGGGTGGGACTTATTTCGTTTTTGAAGTTATACCTGTATACGCGCGTTCGACGTTAGAAATTTGTACGGGACTGAATCGGCAAACTCATTACATATGTAAGATATAGGTAAGAGAGAAACATAAGATATATTTTCTCTCCCTTTGTCTCTTGAGAATAAAAGTGTTTCTTTTGTAAATATATTTATTATTTATTAATATTATTATTATTTTTTTATTAATATTATTATCATGGTAAATTAAACATATGCGTAAGTAAGTTATGTATATTGTCATTTTTCAATACTTATGAATTTTGCATTTTAATATGTATTGTATTATTATATTGAATTATGTTGCAGGGTATTGTATTGTATTTTTATATTAAAAACAAAATAAACAATGAATTTTACTGCAGCGTATGTGTAAAAAAATTTTTGCATTCAACTCCTTTCACAAATATAATATAAAAATAAAAATATATATTTTCATCAAAATATTGATTCAATCCTTTATTTACTATAGTCCTATTGGAGGTCAAATGTTGTTTATATACAGCAAACGATGCACCATATACCTATATACCTAATTCTGTTTCTCTTTTTACTCTCTCTTACCTATAGCATTACATATGTGATGATTGTGCAGATTGACTCCCATATAAATTTGTAACGGCGAACGCGTGTATATCATCATCATCATCATGGCTTATTCACTCCTGGCGGAGTGTTTGCCGCCCTTTTGGGCTCTCTGATTCATTTATTGCGGAGAATCAGTCCGCTGTTGTTCTTTTTATTATTATAGCAGCGTGTGTGACTTGGCCATGTCTACAATTTTCCTATATTCTTTCCGATCCTTACAGCGCTCCTTCCAATTGTAGATTATCAGCTTCTTTAGGTCTCTTAAGACTTGATCTCTCCATCTTGTTTTGGGTCTCCCCTTTGGTCTCTTTGTTGTTGGTCTCCATCCAGTTATTCGCTTTAGCGTAGAGTCTGGGTTAGCTCTTTCTGTGTGCCCCAGCCACCTGAGCCTTTGCGTCTTAACGAACTTGATTATGTCTTCACCCTCGATGACTTCTTTAATTTCTTCATTGGTTAATCTTCTAAATTCGCCTACACTTATCCTGACTGGCCCCATTATTCGTCGAATTATCTTTCTCTCTAAGATTTCTAATCTTATTTCATCTTTTTGTGTTAGGCACATCGTCTCTGCATCATATGTGATCACTGGCCTGATTGCAGTCTTGTAAATTTTTAATTTGGTTTTCTTACTATTGTGTTTTTCTTTCAGGAATTTTTGGTAGTTCCAGTAGGTTTTATTACCCAGTAGGATGCGTTCATTTATTTCATCTGTTCTATCATTTCTGTCATTTACCATCACTCCCAGGTATTTGAAACGGTGTACTCTTTCAAATGTATATGCACCAAGCTTAATTTCTTTCTCTATGTTCGTATTCTCTCTTGAACACTTGAGGTATTTCGTTTTGCTTTGGTTTATTACTAGCCCTCTCTTCTTTGCTTCTTTATCTAGTATTAATATTATGTTCTGCATGGTTTTTTAAATCTCTAGTAACCAGTGCAATATCGTCTGCATGGGCAATCAGTTGGGCTGAAGATTCGATAATCGTTTCCATAATTTTGGCTGCTCTTACTACGCCCTCTATGGCAATGTTAAATAATGTTGTTGACAGGGAGTCTCCCTGTCTGACACCTACCTCCATTTGTACTTCATCTGACGGGCCTTCCTTTGTTAAGATTCGTGCCTTGGATTCCTTCATCGTAATTTTCGTGAGACTTATTAATTTTTCTTGGATGCCTAATTGATTCATATCCTTAATTAGCTCCTCCCTTATTACACTGCAAAAGCTTGCTTGTAGTCAATAAACAGTATATGTAGATCTATTCCGTGCTCGTAACTTTTTTCGACTATTTGCGTTACAATGTGTATTGCATCTATTGTTGACTTACCTTCTCTAAATCCATGTTGGTATTCACCTATTTTTGTTCTAGTTTCTTTTTCTATTCTTTGTCTGATCAAATTAGTTAATATTTTGTACATTGTATTTAAAAACGTGATTCCCCTGTAGTTAGTGCATTTCGTCTTGTCGCCTTTTTTAGAGATTGGTGTTATCAGACCACAATTCCAGTCGTTCGGCATGCTTTCTTCTTCCCATATTCGTTTTATTAGGTTGTGGATTCTGTGGGCTAGTTCCTCTCCCTCATTTTTAAAGAACTCATTTATAATATCGTCTGGTCCTGCTGCTTTCCTTGTCTTTAATCTGTTTATAGTCGCCAATAGTTCGCTGTATGAGGGAGGCTCTGATTGTTCTCCATTCCTATTTTCTGTTTGTTCTTCATTTTCTGCGTTTTCAGCATCGTCTTTCTTTTTAAACAGTTCTCTATAGTGTGTTTCCCATTCTATTTTTCCAATATTTGGTGGAATCTCTTTTTTTCTCTGTGATTTTATGTATTTGTATAGTCTTGCATTGTCATTACTATTGGCTTCGAGTTTCTGCAGTAATTCTTCGATCCATTTCTTCTTTGTTCTTTTGCAGCATTTGTCTGACTCTTTCTTCTTCTCTTTATAGTGTAGGAGATCTTCTTGTTTCCCTGTGGCCACCCACCTGTGTTTTGCTTTGTCCTTGTCTTTACTAGCTGGCTCGCATTCTATTGGAGGTCAAATGTTGTTTATATACAGCAAACGATGCACCATATATCTATATACCTAATTCTGTTTCTCTTTTTGCTCTCTCTTACCTATAGCATTACATAGGTAATGATTGTGCAGATTGATTTCCATATAAATTTGTAACGGCGATCGCGTGTATATAAGTATAACTTCTATCGGCAGTCCCACTGGACTGCCACACCCGATTTTTTTATTTCGTCTATACACATAGAACTGTCAGGCCTGAGCTTTACAACTATTTGCTAAAATTGTGCTATATTTTTGGTACCTTCCTAGGTTAAGCCTCACTGATCCATCTATGTAACTTTTGCCAATATACATAGTGTAATTTCATTTAGCATTTAAGTCCTGAAATACAATGCGAGTAATTCCCCAAAAAACTAAAAATAAATCCATTCCCTTTGTTTTTTTTATCCAGGATTTCGTCTTCTACCCTTATTTGCCGTTAATATTTCCTGCGTATTGAAATTAATTAAACATCAGAGATTAAGGATGCACAATATACAAAAGATTTTAGATTCAAAAGATAAAAAAATTACTTACTTTAATAAGCTCTTTCAGTCTATCAGTAATATATAACATATTATCTTCATTGTAATATCCTATATCACCAGTCCTTAACCAACCGCCCAAGAACGTGTTTTTGGTTTCTTCTGGTCTATTGAAATATCCTTTCATAACTTGAGGACCTTTCAATAAAATCTCTCCTTTTTCATTAGGACCAAGTGGTGTACCTAAAACACAATATTTAATAATACCAATGTATTGAATTTGTATTCAAACTTGTATGGACGGTACTTTTAAGCTTTTAAGTGAATATAGTCAATAATTATATGAGCAGTTCCAATTTAATATTGTATGTCGGTGAAATTACATAAAAAAACGGATAATATCCTAATCGGCTGAGGAGTCCGACAGGGTGATACCTTATCGCCTAAACTGTTTATCGCAGTACTATAATATGCTTGTAAAAAACCTAACTGGGAAGAGAACGGCCTGAACATTGCCGGTAGAAGATTAACAAATTTGATGGACCAGGTCAAAGTATTACAGCACCTAAACCATCTGAAGAGTCTAGTGACGATGGTGCAATTGAAAATTCTGAATTAGATAACAGCAACAATGATGTTGATATTAACAAAGATGAAGAGGAAGTTGAATACATTTGTCCTATAGTTTATTTTTATGAACGAGGGAGTAATTAGCATAATTTTAACTGGTACCTCCTCGACCACTCCATGGGCGTGCCCAAGATTAATTGAAAAATTACTTTGAATAAGTGTAAAAAATAAATGAATTATTTCAGTGTTATAAAGTGTTATGTGTATGTAAACAAAAGTGACCTCTTTTATCACACACTATATTAGAACTGACTGGCCTACATTAAAAAGGGTTTTTAAAAAATTTACATTTTTTTTTAATTTTTAAAAATTACAAAAGAGAAAAAGAGTTTTTAAAACCGTCTAAGGTATGTTAAATAGATGAATAAAAATATTAATATAAAACTTACAGCTACTTGTTACAAATCCAAATCAGATTCAGAAGATGAACTTTGAGAACCAAGATTTATAATAACTGGCTCGATCATTTTATCAGTAATATTGTCCAGCTTCCACATTTTTTCCTCTTCTTTAATAGTGTGATTTACTGCCTTTTCCCAGTTTTCAGGTTTTACATTATTTACGGCATCCAAAAACAACTGTTTAACATCATGAAGTTTAAAAGTGGTATTTTTTCTTGAAACTTCACTCTTTATCTGTGCCCATTCAATCGGGTTTAATTAACAATGATATGGTGGGGATCTAAGTACTGTCATTCCACGATTCTTGGCAATTTCATCAATTTCGTATTTTTAAAATTTTTCTTTATGAAGGGCACACAACGAATAAAGTTCCTTTCTTATAGATCCGGGATGGTACGTAATATTTTTTGAACTCAGCCAATTCTGCAAGTCTTTTTTTAACCACTTGGTTGTGGGCAGTCCTTCTATAAGTCTGGAGTGATAACTTGCATTATCCATTACTATTACACAGTTCTTAGAAAGAAGATCTATCATTTGTTCGAACCATTCTTAAAAGACATCAGCGTTCATGTCTTCATGGTAGTCACCGGTACGAGTTGACTCAAAAGTTAATAAACCACCTTCAACAAAACCGTCTGAACTGCCAATGTGTACTATTATCAGCCTGCGTCCCTTTCCTGATGGTGGGTTTAAACCAGTGGATAAGTTATTTACAAAAGCGTGCCTTTGACTTGTAACAGTTTCATCCTGCCAAAATTTATTTGGTGTATGACCCTCGTTAATCCATGTTTCATCAAGATAAAATATTTTTCTTTTTTGGTTTCTCATTTCCTTTATGGTTCTTAGAAAATGTCTTCTCCATATGACAATATCGCTTCTTTCTAATAAAATAGACTTTCTGGGATTCTTTTTCCAGCGGAAGCCTATTTCTTTTAAAAGTTTCCATAACGTACTTCGACTCATTTCTGGGTAATCCTTATCATCTCGAACTAAGACAAGAACTTTATCCAATGTTGGAAATTCTTGTCTAAAGAAGAATTCATGCACTTTCCGTCGAAGTCCTTCTTTAAAATGATATTCTATTTGAAATTTTGGTTTCCCTGGAGCATTACGTGGCATTTGAAAACTACCACATTTCTCTTCTTTAATAACTCTGTAAATTGTAGATTTCCCAACACCAAGTGTACTGCTAACTAACTCAACGGTCTCATCAACACTTTCACATAAACGTTTGTCTGTAAATGATTTCAAACAATTAAATATTAATGTTTTTTCATTAACTGTTAAAGGACCAATTTTTCGGCGTTTACACGGCACTTCCAAATTTTCCATATCACTAGTATACACAATAAACTGCACCTTGCAACTTAAGTACCTACTTTTAGTGAACTGTTAAGAATTTTGAATACGCCACTTGGACCTTCCTACAAAATGGAAAAACCCACTATCACATTTTCTGTGGAATAAGTTTAGAAGGTAATTATCTAGTCAATTACTGTCGTAGATTCCTGGAATTAAAGAATTAAATGTTTGATTGTTGAAATCCTTACTTCGTGGAATGCACTCATTTCAGATAAAATAAAACGTTTTATTTTATCTAAAGAATTAAACTTTATTTTGCAAATAGGTAGGTACTTATTAAACTTTTATTGGTTATATATAACCAATAAAATAAACATCTTACATTTCTTGCAAATTCATTAGTACCTGTTAACCTCCATCACTCCGACACTGGCAACCTTATTTAGGCATTAGTAACCCTCACAACTATTGTATTCTATTCTGCTCCAACCTTTATACCTGGTGGTCATACTCAATTTAAAACTGTTTTCCTATATACTTCTGTAAACTTGTTGACAAATATCTGTTTTTCATTGAGTCACCCGTATCAACAGCTTAGGGATTTGCATACATAATTTATTGTTTTATTACTCTCTCATACATAAAAATACACTATAGATTAGGAAAGATCACGAAGAGAAAATTCCTACTGGAGAAATTTTTCTCTACTGTCTAATTCTAGGAAAAAGACGGAATTTCGCTATGTGTGTAAGCTAATAGAAGTTTTAGAAGAAGAAGAAATCGAAGTTAATGACTTAAATCTGCAGGAGCAGGAGCGAGGAACAATTTCAAAATAATTGAAAATGACATATCCACTATTCGCTTTAAGGAAGAAGTTGCTGTACTACCAGATCCGACACTTAAGACGATTTCTGATAGGATACAAAAGATACAAAGGTATTAAATTAATATAAAATACTGTTAAATCCAATTTTATTTTTTTAAATATGTTCTGGTTGTTTTGGTTTAAATAAATAATAGTTCAATAAAAAGAGCGTAATCATTCTCACCCTGCAAGATTAATCTCACCCCCTTAAAAATTCGAAAAACTATTTTACCAAATTGGTCAGGCTTGGGATTGATCATATTCTATTTAAAAGCACTACTCTTTCCTGTTATAAAATCATCATTAGACCCAGTGAATAAGGTGAAATTGATCACCCTTTTTTTTTATAAGGTACGGGTACATTGATCATCCTTAGATAGCAACAAAAATTGCCAAACTTAAATGGAGCTTCGCGGGTCACACTGCTAGACAGAAAGACCAACGTTGGAATACTACAATACAACATTGGAGACCTTACGAAAGTAAACGACCAAGAGGAAGACCACAGATCAGATGGATTGACGACATTAAAAGAATAGCCGGAACAAATTGGAAATATGTTGCCCAGGATAGAGACCGATGGAAGGAGTTGGGAGAGGCCGATGTCCAAACATGGACGACAGAAGGCTAAGAAGAAGGAGAAGGAAAAAACTAGTGGTAAAGCATTACTCGTTAGATATTAATATAATACGAGAAGGATTTAAAGATAAAAAAATACAAAAATGTGAAATATGTATATATATATATATATATATATATATATATATATATATATATATATATATATATATAAATAAAGTTAATATTAAAAAAACTAATCTATTAAAATCCAAAACACTTACTATCAGAACTAAATGTTCTGATAGTAAAATTATTATTCAATAAATGTATTAAAAAAATGATGATATAGTGTAGAAACACTAGGAGAAATATTAATCGAGTTAAGTCTTACCTTCTGGATCGTCAGGATTTATAATTTTCGCAGTGGTATTGGAAACAAGCCTTCCTACTGATCCAATATTCTTCTCCGATCTTATTATGTCTTTCGGAGTAAACGAAACAACTGGAGATGTTTCAGTCAATCCATAACCTATAAAAGTAAAGAAAATTAATTATAATTGAATTAATCATGGATAAATTACTGTAAGAAATTTGTATTAAGGTCATCGAGCAAAAAGACAAAAGAGGGAATCTAATCCTTATGAAAAGGAGACCAAAAAAGTGGCCTCTGATGGCGGACATATCCGGAAATGCGGATGCGCCAAATTAAAATTTTCCGACACTTATCAACAGTAGCTATATAATATTTTTCAGAATGTGTTTTAGACGAGAAAGTTTTAATTAAATATTAACGATAATAGTCTAAAATGCGACACAATTGTTGAAAAACTTCAATATAAATAAGATTTCATGTGACATTTGGGACACACAATAACATAACCCAACTAAATTTGATGTCAAACAAGGAGAGAGACTCTCTTTCCTTGTTTAATGTAGCCTATAAAGATCGCACTTCCTGTCTAACAATATGTTTGCCCCCACTACCTTTACATTCCTTTTTTTGTCTTTTTGCTCGATGATTAAGGTATAAGAAATATTTATAAACAGTACTACAGTAGTAGTAGTGATGCCATTTATTGATGTAGTGCAACGGATTTTGTGGGACAAAAAAGAAATTATATACTTTTTGTTAGAAAATCAATACTCACATGACTTAAACATTTAGTTTTAAATAAACTTGTTTAGATGAGGCATATTAACATTACTCACCTTGAATTATATTTATATTTCTTCCGACCTTTTGCAGGAATCGTTCTTCATCAAGAGATCCAAGTGGTGCTGCACCACAAGACAAGGTCTTCAAATTGTTAAAATATTCTGATTTAACATCTGGATGGGCTGTTAGAAATAGTACTAAAATGGGAAAAAATTAGTATTTCTCAGGTGGAATATTCCTACTGTTATTTTTGCCTACACACGACAATTTGTATCCTTCACCTAGTTCTTTCTCCCTTTGTCCGTTCCACCTCATCTCTTGAATGTACGCAATTTGTACTCTCCTGATTTAAAAGTATTTACCAATCCCATATTTTTACCTCTAAGACTTACTAAATTCCAAGACCCTATGGTTAACGTAATCCGAATTTCTCAGGAGAAAATATTCTTCACACAAGTTTAGAGAGACTACTATTTAACTGGGAATAAGCCACAATTAAAGATAAAAATACGTTTATTGACGTTTATCCACTTCAGAAATCGTTCTCAAAATACAAACAGTAAATTAAACAAATTTTGTTTTTTGTTACATAGCGAAAAATTCTTCTAATAATTTAATTTTATCTGACTCATTTATATTGATAATTCAGACATACATTCAGACATACATCATTTTAAAGTAGACGACTTTAAAATGATATTGCCAATATTGTTGAGTTGCGCTCCTGGGACGACTTTACTTATAAGATAGTTCATTCGATTACATGAAATCAACTTTAACTTGAGAATATCCGTCAGAAAAAAATCATAGCATGTAATTCGTCTTTAAAAAGACAAACACATGACATGATGACAGTAAAAATTCTCCTGTTAGTGATTCCATAGTAAATTATGAGGGAAAAACCAGGAAAAAACCTCATAATACTATCCCGACATGGTAAGTATTTGTTCGTGCAGTTAGTTTACCCAATAAACACCAAAATTCTGATTTTATATGTTTCGCTATTTAAAAAACATAAATGATGTATTCTCTATATGTTACTGACTTACTAATACTGATATTTTCTTATTAATAACTTCCTCCTTCAATATTGGTAACCAGATCTACTACATTCTGCCGAGGAATTTGCGACACAATTGGCCTCATTTAGCATAATTAGAGCCGCTTCTTTGAATTTTCTTTTTTTACCATCCGTTTCTTTTAAATGGCATTTTCTTTTTTTTTCCTTCTAATTTTCTTTTAAACATCAAGGCCATTAAATGTTAGAAATAAGTGAACATCAATCTTATATTAAATATAGAGAATTTGATAGATCTCAAATATGTAAACACGCATGGGATAATTAACATAGGGTTTAATGGAATAATTCAAATGTAGTCCCGCTTCATTATCAATAATTAAAACACAATGGTTTTAAAGTTATTTATGCACCAAGGGTGTTATCGAAACACCCAGCAACACCATGTTAAAAGCAACATAATCCAGCCAGTGTGCCTCTGGCCCGAGGAATTTATGTTGTGTTTAAGTGGATGGAAGCGAATGGACATTCAAGTGGAACTCCAAAAGAATCACCCCGTGTAAATAATTTTATTACCTAGAGGAGGAGCTGCAAAAATCATACTGATAGGTTATTCTTCAAGGCTGCTATGTAAGATTCTGGAGTAAATTTATCAAGAGCTACACATCTAGTTCCTTGGTATATGAAGAGAAAATTCAACATTAAGCCATAAATGTGATAAAATGGCAGCACTGCTGGTGACATATCTTGATATTCATCTGAAAAATAAATCGTCTATTATATGTTATTCATGAGATTGAAAGAATATATAATTTGTTTATTACTTTTTTTAAGGAAAAAATATAATAACTAAGACGGAAACGGAAATATTGGGGAAAACCAAACCAGTTAAAAAACAACCAATGGTTTGGTTTTTGGTGAAAGACAAATCAAGCAAGCCGTTCAAAAAGAGTAAAGGAGGCATTCTCGACCCTAAGAAGAGAACAAAAAAGATTAAAAAAGAGACAATTTGTGGAAAAACAGTTAGAAAATATAGGTCCATGGACCTGTTAAAGACAACGGAGTATGAAGATCTATGTACAACCAATAATCCTTCCAATTGTTCATAGAGGCACCGATTTTAGAATTTGTTAAACTTCAAAGACTTGAATTGAACGGAGACCGAAAGATTGACAAAAAGAGGCCTATATATTCAAATGTAGGGCCGAAAGGAAGATCAAGGAAAAAATCAAGGTTAATTTATTACCGAATTCTCTGCTCCATAGGTCATTATACTGCGTACCAAGGTGTTATAAATTCTCTTCTTTGTATTCCTGGTAATCTGTCTATCCCACAGTACCCCGTTAATCTGTTTCATACATGTTCTTGTCTGTGCTAATCTGCTGGTTATCTCTTGTTCGGTGGTTCCATTTTTTGAAAGTATGAACCCTAAATATTTGAATTTTTCAGTGCCGTTAATTTCCCTATCATCATCCATTTCCAAGTTTCTCACTGGTTCTTGCTCTGTTGTTAAACATTCGGTCTTTTCTAGGTTTATTTCCAGTCCATTTTTTGGTTTATTCCATTTCTAATTTTCGAAGCATATAGCACAGATCTTCTTCATCTTGAGCCGTTACCACTTAGTCATTTGCAAAGCTTAATGTGTACCAATAATACTCAATACTACTCAATATTTGTAACGAACATAAAGCACGTTGTCTTCGATGGATGGTAAGAAGGAATAATAGTTAGAGGATGAAAAATCCGCTGCCTCTGCTATGCTAATGACATTTTAATACTAGCATCACCAACAGATGAACTTGAACACATGTAGATATGAATACAGGTGAACTTGAACAGATAAGATACTATTAATTTTTTCATTTTGATATAAAATTAATGCAACGAAGGCCAAAATGAAGATTGACGTTTCCATGGCCAGACCAAATAAAGAAACCCGCCGGTTACTCTCTCTGAGACAGCACACCAAGCGCAGGAAAGAGAAGAAAGCCCATCCTTATGAAGGGTAAAACACAGAGGAACAGGAATGTGTATATTAAGTAAATGACTTTTTAAAAAGTATCGGATTTATTGTTTTACAAGGACTAATGGAACCTCGGAAGAATATGAATCCGATGAATCCTTTCTGATTTTATTTTAGGAATATTCCTATGCCCTTACGGATTCCAATCCGCGATTCATAAGTTTTTACGGCAACTTAACATTCTGGTAATTTATTTTTACTAAAAGTAATTTCCTAGCAAATAATGCAAAAAAGAAGAAAAGGAAGATCCCAAAGCTTGTGGAATTTCTTATTTTTGTGCCATATTAGAGTTACCCGAAAAGCTTTAAAGTCTTCTACAACTGACAAAAGTGCTGCGATTTAGCTCATATTTATATACAATTGATGCAACTTTACATTTAGATATACAAGAATAGATTCTTACCTGTTGGAGGTTGAAACGTAGAAAAGTCCGGATGACTCATCTGTGTAAGATTGGATGTCAAGTTTTTGTGCGTAAGCAAAACTCCTTTTGGTAATCCCGTTGTTCCACTGGAATACGGCATGATGGCTACATCGTCTGGATTTCCTGGTTGAAGGTCCGGAACGTCCAAATGTGTATTAATTAATTCTGATAAATCTATTGTGCCCTCTGGCAAACTTTCCGCTTGCTAAAATAGTGGACATTATTTAGTAGAAAGTGGTTTTTACATATTTTTAATATAATAGCAGTTATTAAAAATAGCATCAATCAATAACATTAACAGAAGCAGACAGTTGAATTATAACAAGTAAAGACGATACCATAATACTAGTCGTAAAAAGAAAGATTCTTATATTAGTCTTTGGGTCTTAAAGAACTTTAGAAATTTCAAGCTCTAAAGGAAAATTTAAGATACAATTGGAAAATAAGAGTTGATCCGTGAGAAAAGAATAGTCTAGGAATTTTCCACTCTGTATATTATCAAAAGGTTTTAATTTGCGTCTTAAAAATCCTTAAAAGGAAAACACTTTTCAGAATCATAAAATACTCTATTATCAAGAGTATTTTTTTATGGAGCTTAAAAGCTTTTAAAAATCAAAAACAGAGTTCTATTAACTAACTAGGTGTGGATGATATGTGGAGTAAAATTAAAAATATCTATAATTCAGTGGTGAAAACAGAAATAAGAATTAGGAAAGGTACAAAGAACTGAACAAAATCATTAAGAAAAAGATTAAAGAAGCAAAAGAATCATGGCTACAAGATCAATGCATAGAAATAGAATTCCTAGAACAGAAGTATGACACTTTTAACCTTAATAAAAAGATCAAAAACTTAACGGGAGGAAACGGATCACGAAGTCATAACTTAGTACTAGAAGAGCACAACAATCTGCTCTACGAAAATGAGAGAATACTTGAAAGATGGAGGCAATACATGAAAGAATTATTCAAGGAAGTGCGCGAGACATTTGTCAGTGTTTCTGGATGTTCAGCGTCAGAGAAGTAACATGCAATAAAAAGACAAAAAACCAACAAGGCACCTTTTTTTTTTTTTTTTTTTTACATCTTTAAAGAGAAGAAGGAAAATCTGCATACAGACACCTGTGACTCACACAGGTAGTGTTGGGTTCCTAATACCCTAGCGAAGTTGTGCAGGGGCGAGGTGCCCAAGGAATTTAAACCCTTGACACCTCGCCCCGTCACCACTCCGAGACGGTCGGCGTCCAACTAAAAACCTCTCCTCTGTCACACCAGACATCAGGATGGAAGGGCCAGTTAAGGCATACATCTCTCCCGATGCCCTGCTATCACCCGATTCCCATTCTTTCTCCGACACATTCATCCAGGAAACCACACCCACACGAACCACCAAGGACTTTCAACCCTCTGCCTTAGCGAGGCTGCCATCTCTCTCGCGTCGTCTGTCTCTTACTCACTCTTAGTTCGGCCTGTGACAGTCCGAACCCTACCAAGGTGCTACTCGCTTGTCTTAAAATTCTGTTGCGAGTTCCCTCTCTTCTCGTTCTTTTGAGGAGAGCAGCTTCCTGACAAATTTGTGGATCCGTGTCCACCACCACTTATCACTCATCATTTTCTCCACCATTTCTCTCACGGAATCAAACATTCTGCAGTTACACTCTCTTACAAACTTCTCTCTTTCATCCGCCCAACGCTCACACTCCAACATCGTGTGTGTCACAGTGTCCGAGAAACCACAGTAAAGGCACTGATCGGACTGAGCCCTCCTAAACCTGAAAAGGTAGCTGCGGAAGCAGCCATGGCCTGTGAGCATTTGCGTTAGATAGTAATCCAGCTGCCTATGCCCACAGTCCACCCAGCTTCGAAGGTTCGGGATTAGTGACTTCGTCCACATCCGCCACATCACGTGTTGCCTCCCACTCTTGTTGCCACTGTCCGATTGAAAACTAATCTCTCGGCCAGTCTTATCTCATTCATTTCTCGCTCTCCGATGTTCCGCCCCCTACGACTGTAAATCCTTGCCCTTTCACCTGCCAGCACATGTAAAGGAACACAGCCGGTGATAACACACAGAGCGGCAGCTGACACAGTCCTGAACAAGGCACCTGGACCTTATAATAACATACTAGCTGAAATATTGAAACTATTTGAAAACAACCAACTCCTAACGAGTCTACTGAACAAAGTCTATGAAACAGCAGATTTTCCTTCAGGATGGTTAGTTGCCACCTTCATCTCTCTTTCCAAAAAGGCAAATGCCACCAGATGCTCTGATTATAGAATTATAATCTTAATAAGTTATACACTTAAAATCCTTCTTTCTGTTATTCACTCTCGCATATATAAATGAAGACTTAAAAGAAAAACTTGAAGAAAACATTAGCAGTGTTCAGTTGGGTTTAGAAGCGGACTGGGAACGCGAGTGGCCTTATTTTTCATACAAGTATTGATACAAAGAGCTCGAGACGTTAATTGCGAAGTCTACGCATGCTTTATAGATTTTTAAAAAGTATTTGACAAGGTGCAACATTAAAAATGATTTCAGATACTGAAAGAATCTAGTATTAATGACAAAGATTTAGGCCTAATTAAAAGTTTATACTTACAGCAAAGGGCAAGTGTAACGATGAAATGGGGAGTACGTCACGGCTACTTTTTGTAACCGACGTTGTTCAATACTTACTCGGAAATTCTGTTCAAGGAAGCTATTGATTGTTTAAGAGAAGGTATAAAAATTAATGGTGAAATCATAAAGAATTTAAGATATGCGGAGGATATGGTTTTGATTGCTGATAATGCAGAGGATCTGCAAATATTAATAGACCGTGCAGTGGAAGCCTGTAACAGATATGGCATGAAATTAAACTGTAAGAAGACCAACATTCTTGTAGTAAGTAAAAACTAATAAAACAGCTAATAATGAATCCTTGAAAATAGTCGACAAAATTACATATCTTGGATGCAAGCTAAATAAGGAATGGGACCACTCACAGGAAATAGGATGTCGTGTAGAAAAGGCGAGAGCTGTCTTCAATCGCCCTTAGAAGATTTTATGTAAGATGCACGTGAACATTATTATAAGAACACGAGTCTTGAGGTGCTATGTATTTCTATCCTTTTATATGGAGTCGAAGCCTGGACGTTGACAAAGGCAACATCCAAACGATTAGAAGCCTTCGAAATGTGGAGCTACCGCCGCATGCTCAGAATTTCCTGTATTCATCATGTTACAAACACCGTGATCCAACGTATGATAAAGATCTGGAAATTATTCGAATGATAAAAATCAGAAAGATAACATACTTAGGTCATGTGATGCGCAATGAGAAATATCAACTAATTTCACAAGGCAACATAAAAGGCAAAAGATCTCAAGGGCGCAGAAGGACATCGTGGTTGAAGATCATCAGACAGTGGGCAGGAATGACTACCGTACATCTATTTAGAGCAGCTGTCAACAAAATTGTATGAACCAACGTGATTGCCAACATCCACAAAAGGATAGGCACTAACAAAAGAAGATTAACTAACAATCACCATGATTTTTTCAAACTTTTTAGTAGAATTTAGAAGTAAATTCTTCTATAGAAGCAGTTGAAAAATTACTCACACTTTTAAAACTTTATTGTAGTATCCAGGAAATACAAAATAGTATAACGGATAAGAGAGGTTGGAGGGTTGGAGAATGGCTATTGAAGAGAAAGGACTTAATGTTAGCAAATCGAAAACGGAGGTTATACAACAGTGATGAACAGGAATTATTGGAAACATCATATATTCCATCATTGCTTGGAAAAAACTAGGAGGGGTAAGAGAACCATATTCAGGGTTCTGAAGCAATTGAACCATAAAAAAAATAATTCAAATACTTAACATAGATTACACAAGGCAAAAATGTAATTCAAAAACAATGTATATAAATTGTCTCATAATTACTTTATAATAGTTTTAATTTTTTAATTGGTTTTTAATTTTTATCATTAATTTTATAGCTATTGCAGGTTATTATATTAAAAGTGTTATTATATTAAAATAATTATACATTAAATCATCCATTATACATTAAAACATATGTGACAACTTTATTCATCGTCATCATCAACGCCTTTTATTGCTAATGGAATATTTCCTGCTCTTGGGTCTTCTTCTTAGTTTTTTCAGTTTCTAGGTTCCATCTGGTGACCTTCCTAATAAGTAGATCGTTTTTTTCTTCTCTATATATGTCCCAGCCTTCTCAGTCTCAGCGCTAAATCTAACTGAATTGCTTATTTCACAAAACAACCTAAGTCACATTTTGGCGATTTTAAGTTTATAACACCAACATGTATTTCTTTCTGTGGGTTACACACAATTTAATGCAGAGTACACGTAAGTACCGTAAGCATAGTTGATTTTCTACGGATTTCAAATATTCATATATTTCTAAAACCACCTTAGTCCCGGACTAAGGTTGTTTAGTATGTATAAAGTTGTCTGGATACTGGAAGAAAAAACTTCATATTTTCATATTATTATATCCAATGATCAACCAACCACTAGTGCTGAAAATGGTAAGGATAAAGAGCGATGACTATCAGCGTAATGTCATAAGAAACTCTAGAATTAAAGGCAAACATATACTAGTTACAAAAATAAGGCCATGGAAGTAAAGCAAATAGGACCTCAGTGCAAGTAAGACAATAAAAATATAATAGTTTTGAGTTTGTAAAATACATTTTTTAGGTGTTTTACTCAAACGTTTTAAAAAATGAACGAAGATCAAAGGAACATTGTTTTTGGTAACTTTTAGGATATAACAACAAAAAACGAATACGATATATATCTACAAGGATTAATAGAAGTAATGGAGGTGTCTAAAAGAAGACAACGTAACGAATGAAGTAAAGATGGGAAAAGAACTTACAAGTTCTTTGTTAATGTTGACCAAACTAAAAAAAAGATATGCGAAGTTGCTTTTTTAAGTATTCACGCCATTGGAAGAGAAAGGCTAAAGAAAATTAAACAACTTGTAGTATGTGGTGTGATACCTACAGATAAAAGGGAAAAATATATAAGTTCTCCATCAATTATATAAAATATTTATTTGATGTTTCGGCTTCTGATCCGAAAACATAACGCCAAAATATAGAGTTTAATTTATAAAAATTGCTAGCTTACCGTTTCCTTAACAATAATCAAAGGTAGTTGTCGTTTTGTTAGTTCTAATGCAGATCTAGCCGTGCTGACCAAATTAGCTTGAGTTACTATTAGTTTTGGAGAAGCGTCTAAAATCTGCTTTGCTATTTCATCTAAAACAAATATTTTGCGATTGAACAAATATTTTATATAAATTAAAGGGTATATACCGAAAATTTCAAAAATGTTGAGCCACCAATGTATTAAATGTCATATTAAATGTCAAATTAAATCAAATTAAATATTAAATGTCATGTCATATCATAGGTTTTAGACGTGATTTTTTATAAAAAATTAACAACAGAGTTTAAACTTAGAACGTTCCTGTATATGAAATGTTCACCAGTTTTATATATTAAGGTAACACTGTATTGGGACCGTGCAAGTTCGGAAGAGCGACACCTGGTATCGTAAATCAGCAAAATTTACTGCGCTTTCATGTTAGATTGAGGTTACCGGATAACTGTCAAGGACGTAGATCCAAAAAAAGAATAAGAAAAAAAAGTAAGATTAAGGTTAACGTTATGTCGGTATGTTATTAAAAGGTAAACGTTGTATGTAGTGTAAATACAAATAAATATATTATTAAATTACAGCATTACTGTTAATATGGATGCAATAATAAAAACTGGATTTGAGAATAACACATTGATCTCCAAATATCTTTTTAACAATTTTTTGTTGTATTTTTACAATTTATAACCCAGCAATAATTACTAAATCCCATTTTCTTCAGTGACAGAAGGTGTAAATAAACAAAGGAATATGAAATATGACAATTTGCCAATTGACAATTTGGCAAAATATGAATTTATGAAATCTATAAAATGTGCAGTAAAAAATGCAAGATTTCTCCGCTACTCGCGCACGATCGTTTCTCGTATCACATCCTAGTACTTGCACGTCGCCAATACTACTATAGTATAATTAAATACTAATTTAGGGTGACGCTAAGGAAAGGAAGCAAAATCTTAAGAACTATTAAGAAAAGTAATTACTATTTTAATGTAAATAATCCACAATTGAAGTCTAAAATAAGTTTATTGACGTTTTAATTTCCACTTTGGAAATCGTTCTCAATCCGGTCAAACACCACACGATTGGCTTCAATCAACCTTTATACCAATCCCAAAAAAGCCAACCGCTAATAGTTGCTACCAATTCCGAATGATCACCTTATCACTATCCGAATGATCACCAGGTCCTAAAACTCTTCTTAAAGATAATTCACACAAGAATATATAACAGATGTGAAAGAGACGTTAGCCCCACTCAGCTCGGTTTCAAATAAGGATTTGGCACAAGAGAAGCACTTTATAGCTTAACTGTCCTACTTCAGAAATGCAGAGATCAGCAAAAAGATGTCTTCATATGCTTTAAAGATTACCAGAAAACGTTCGATTGTATTAATCATTCAGAATTAGTCAGATTGCTCCAGGAACGTTCGATAGATGAGAATGACCTTAAAATCATAAAGAACCTTTATATGAATCAAGTGGCATCTGTGAGAGTAGGACTGGAATCTACATCACATTTCTAAATCGAAAAAGGTGTACAACAGGGTTGTCTTCTGTCACCCCTCCTTATTAATCTTTACTCTGAAACGATTTTCGATAGAGCCTTAAGTGACACTGATGATGGAATCAAAATCAACGGACAGAGTAAACAGACTATTAGTAATCTTCATAATAATCGTCATAATAACTGACAGTCAAGAAGCGCTACAACGACTGATAGATAGAATAAACACTGAAGGAGAACGACTGGGCTTGAAGATTAATATAGACAAGACGAAGGTAATGGTCGTTAGTAGAATACGAAATATGCAATTAAATATAAGAGTTAACAATAAGAACATCCAAAAGGTCCCCAGGTTCAGACATGTTGGTAGTTTAATAACTGATGATTTAAATCCAGACATAGAGATACGTAGCAGGATTCAGCAAGTCAGAACAGCATTTACTAATATGAGAACCTTGCTAAGCAACAGCAGCCTTAATTTAACGCTTCGATATCGCTTTGTAAATGATACATTTACTCCATACTGCTATATGGTGTAGAAACCTGGACCACAAAGGCCAATGTCATGAACCGATTGGAGGCTTTTGAAATGTGATTATTTATATGACTACTTAAAATTCCCTGGACAGATCACACAATAAATGTCGAAGTATTAAATCGAATGGGCAGAGAACGACAATTGCTGCCAAAAATAAAAAGAAGAAAAACTATTTATCTGGGTCATATATGTGGAAATTCCAAGTACTAGTTCTTAAAGCTTATTATGGAAGGGAAGTTAGCAGGAAAATGGGGCATCGAAAGAAAGAAATACTCATGTCTTAAAAACATAAGGAATTGGACAAACCTCGATGCCCATGCACTCTTTAGAGCCACAAAACATCGAGAGGAGTATGTCAGAATTGTCGCCAACATCCACTTATTGGATAAGGCATCATAAGAAGAAGAAGATTTTTCATCTAAATAAAACTAATCGCATTCACACGGTAATTAATAAATATAATTCTTTGTTCTTTCTTGTTCATTGTTAGGTTTAGTTTTAGATAAAATGGATTTCAATGTGTTGTTTTCAATGTTGAATTTATTTACTACCTTTTTAAGTTTTTTGATAATCATTTTATGTATGGTATTGTTATGTTCCTCGTATTATTCCTTGTGTACGATCTCGTTCTAAGTTGTTCTATTCTGTTCTGTTCTATTTGGTCGATGGTTGGAAATTCCTTGTTTATAATCGATAAAGAATAATCCTTTTTCAATAAAACAGATGTTAATAAAGGTTTTTCCTCTAAGAATAAATCTTCGATGGAACAAGTAATTTTGTCTCTGTCGTATATTTCCTTTTTAATATTGCTATTGTAATTTGATTTGTAATTTAAACGAGATAACTCTATGTTTCCCCTTTTCAAGATGGTCTAATACATGTTTACAGTGTTGCCTAATACATATTTACAGTATATTAAGGAAAATAAAATTTTCTCGTCATAATTGCCTTAATTAGCCAAAAATTATTATCTGTCAAATTACCCTTTATTAAACATACTATCTTATCCGTCTGAACAAGAACTATACTTAACGGTATGGTTGTTTACAAAAACGCAAATATTTAGAAATAATAATGTACTATAGTAGGTAAGTATTTTTATCTTATCTTTATAATAATACACCAAATAACCTAAGCAATAATAAAGTATTTTTATGGAAGAATTGCACTTTGTACCATGACAATTCGTGTAGTTTATTGATATCCTGTGGCCATCACTTGACCTTAGTACATTGACATAGAAATTGATAAAATACCAGTTATTGTTGTTTTTTAACTTATATATATATATATATATATATATAATATATATATATATATATATATATATATATATATATATATATACAGTCCTCTCTCTCTATAATTATATGCTAGGGACCGAGAATTTTCATCGTTATAAGGAGAGATTGTTATACAGAGAGAGACAAAATATTTATCAAACCGATTAAAAATGAAATAACACTGTATTGTACACCACATAGATTTAATATAGGAGCTACTGTAAAATATATTTAGCTCACATTACCAAAAAAGTCTGTACCTTGGTCTGTTTCCTTTTCCCTTTCCACAGAACTGACCTGACCTTGTCCTGAAGTCGCATAAAATCTTCCACATCAATCATATCGTCCACTGTTTTCTTTTTCTACACGAACTACTTGTAGGATGTCCTCGACAGAAAGTCCTGATATTGTCGCTACATTTTCAACAAGTTCTTCAAAATCTGTTAGCTCTTCCAGTCCGTAGGTGATAGTAAGTTCAAACTGTTTGGCCCAAACATCTAATGGCAGGTCATCTTTATCATCAGTCAATCCTTAATCTTCCAGCCATCCTGCGTGTTTAAAGGAATGTTTTATTGTATTGCTCGCCACCTTGTCCCAAGATTTACTAATCATTAGGATGGCGTCAAGAATCTTTAGTTTAAGGTCGCCATTGTTCTCAACCAATTGCATCAGAAGTCTTCTCCTGTAATGGCTTTTCAAACTGTTGATGACACTTTGGTCCATGGGCTAATGGACACTCGTTGTCCTTGCTGGCAAAAACAAAGTTCAATGTTTTGAAGGTCTCGCAGTCTAGGATGAGCAGAACAATTGTCTACAAGCAGAAGAATTTTTTCCCTTTAAACTCGATATTCTACATTCTTATCGCGTCTTCAAAAATTTCCGAAGTCATCCACGCACTCTTGTTTGCTTTATAGTTCACCGGTAGATTTTTTACGTTTTTAAAGCAACGTGGATTTTCGACTTCCCGTTCACTAATAATTTTCGCTTCACCGAACCTGTCATGTTAGCGGCCACTTAAACTGTAATTTGTTGCTTAGAGAGCTTTCCACCAACGCACTATTCTAATTTAAATTTAAAAGTTCTGTTTGGTGTCCTTTTAAAATACAATCCAGTCTCATCAACATTGAAAATGTCGTCTGACGCATATCGTACTTTCAGTAAAGGCCATATGTTTAGCCAATCATACGTTACGTTTTTGTTACCATCGCGAGCCTCTCCGTTGATTTGCCAGTAGTTGATCGTGTGCCGCAGCTTCCACTTGCTCAGCTAACCCTCGGAAGCCTTGAAATTTTCAACTCCAAGCTTGCAAGAGAACTCAGCTTTTATCCTGACCACAGGCCCAGAAAGTGGAATACGGTTCATACGCTGCTGCTGGAACCACTGAAACATTGCGTGATCTAAATCTTTGTGCTGAGGTTTCCGCAACTTCTTGCTACCGTTCTCCATGTCCGCTTCAAGCCACTTTTTTTGTCCTTCCATATAGCAGCCGCAGGTGACTGAGACAGCCCTGCACGGCGAACGACATCCGATTGCTTTTCACTTTTCTCTATTACGAGAGTTATCGATAACTTTTCTTCCACCGAGAGCACCTTACGCTTTTTCAAAAACATGTTGACTATTGACACACTGCACAACTCTAACTGAAAATGAAAAGTCGGCAATAGATGACAACATATGTGTGATAACAGTTAGGTACGCCGTCTGAACAATAAAAGCGAGTCACTTAACCCTCTGATAAGAACGAGTAGAATGGGTGGTCGCATTCCTTAAG